ACACTCAATATTTATATCGCCAGGGACCCAATTTGTTTCAAAGTGCCTCATCTTTCTATTGGAATCTGCTCTAATTTGTTTCTTTTTTGCTTTCTTTATTATTTCATCTAACAAATGGAAGTTCGCAAAGCATCTGTATGACTTAATTGCTTAAATTAAAACAAAGTACAGTTGCTAAGTGGGATTTCCCCTCCCACCTTGGTTGACAAATGTTCTAAGCAAGCTATTAGATGTGATGAATTGCTTTACCCATCCTAGAAATTCATCCCACACTTCAGCACCATCTTTGCCAAGATATTAATACAGTTTTAATCTAATTAAGCTAACGGGTTTTTGCACCTGGGCTTTCAAGAGGGCAATGATTTGTATAGCATCTGTGGAGCAGCTTCAAGAATTCATCATAAATATTTATTGCCACAGTATTAACAGACTGATGCCGAGTTCACAGTGCGTTTGCAAACTCCACTGCATTTTTGCAGGCCAAAGGAGAGAGAAGTGAATCACTGCATAAACTTGAAAACTGGAGGAAATCGTTATCATCAGTGGAAGTCAAAAAGCACAGTCAAGAATCAATTACCTAGCATATGCAAATGTTTAAAGAGGCAAAGGATAATGTAATGGAGTGAAGATTATTTAGCAGGCTGCACTATCCTTACTTAGGTGATCACTCGTTGCTCGAGGATGATCATTTTCCAGATGTGATGTCTTGACAGTGGGTCTGTAGGTGACTTATTCTTTCTTTCTTTCATTCTTTTTATGCACTATTTCTATCCTGCCTTTCTCAAATCCAAAGGTGACTCAAGGCGGTTTACAACCAGACAGCAATTCGATTCCTAACAATATACAATTAACAGAATTTACAAAAATACCTTCAATAAAACCTTTAAAAACATATAAAACCAATGCCCTCATTGTTAGTCTCATTGTCCAAAAATCATCATCTGAGCCGTCCCAATGTTCACTTTTGTCTAATTCCATGTTTGCCTAATACTAATAACTCTAAGACTGTGAATTTGAGGGACACTATTTATTTATTTATTTATTTATTTATTTGCAGCTTTTATATTCCGCCCTTCTCACTCCGCAGGGGACTCAGGGCGGATTACAGTGTACACATATATGGCAAACATTCAATGCCAATTTTTGACATACAAACATACAGACATACACAGAGGCTATTTAATTTTTCTGGTCACCAGGGGAGCTGTCGCTTTCATCGTTCATCTGTGACGCTGATGAAGTACTTCCGCATTCCCCGCATGCTTCCCCACTGGAGTGCTTTGCTGGAGTCTTCTTTATGGCCTCATAAATTAGTTAATTTAGCCTCCCTACACTTTAAGGTGATACCTAATTTTCCTACTTGACAGATGCAACTGTCTTTTGGGTTGCAAAGGTCAACAACAAGCTACACAATTGGTTGGAAACCCACTCCAACCCGGGCTGGCTTCGAACTCATGACCTTTTGGTCAGAGTGATCTTAATGCAGCTGACACTCATCCAGCTGCGCCACAATCCTAGATAAGGTTAATTCCTTTCCTAAACTATTTATCTCAGGATTCCACTGGCTGGAACCACAAGAGTTAATGTGGGATCAAACTCTTGTAATGGAGCTGTATGGCTACACTCTTAATCTAAGATTTAACATATGCAACCTATTGCTTCATGAAATGGTGGAAACATAGTTAATAGGGGAGTGAGGCATTAAAAGATCTGAAAAGATGTGCATACTAATTTTAGAAAGGGGGCAGAGGGAAGAGCAATGCACCAAAAGTGTTAGCAGGTGCAGCTCTTTCTGTCACAGTGCTAGCAGATGCTGCCAACCTTTTCCCTTTAGCTCAGCTGCCAAAGACCCAAGAGGCTTCCCTCTTTCCAAAGCTGGCAACTGTAAGCAAGACCAATTACCTCCCTGCAGTCTTTAATGGCCTTAGTAACAAAGCTGAATTACCCAAGGCTTGCAGGAGGTTTGGTTATTTTGCCAGCACTCTCTGTCACTTGCTAACTTTTCTTTCTTTCCTGATATATACTTTCATGCTTCTCTAAAGGCTTCTACTTTGCCTTCATGTGGAGGAGAACCAGTTGCTAAGAGGGCTTTCTTCCACTGCATCAGCATCCACCAAATGTATCGATCCCTAGAGTTGTTATTAGCTTTATGGCTTGTTAACACTTCTGAATGTTGGTCTTGATTCCCTGAACTTAGAAGGTTGAAGTAGATGGCCTACAAGATCCCATTCTGCTCAATCATTTTACAAACAATGAAGTCATAATAGAGAAAAAGCAGTCCTATAAAGAAAATTGAGCCAATAAAGTGAGAAAATGAGAGAACCATCTCATTTCCTTGCTTAATATAATTAAGAAATGCCTACTTTCTCTCACATTGGCATCAAATTCTCACTTCAGCACCAAATGTAAAATGTATTGGGAGATGCCTGCTCAGGATATATAGAACTTTATCATTTTTTTGTAGCGAGTGACTGTGTATCTACTGCTTGCTGTCAGATTTTCCGAAATTTATATTTTTTAAAGAGGGAAAATGGGGAAATAGAAAGCTTTCCACATACAGTAGAGTCTCGCTTATCCAATCTTTGCTCATCCAACATTCTGTATTATCCAATGTGGTCTGCCTCCTGCCTGGATCCACAGTTATATCAATATATGGTGATGTTTTGGTGCTACATTTATAAATACAGTAACGTATCATGTGTTGAATTGCTTTTTCTGTCGATTTGTTATGAAACGTGATGTTTTGGAGCTTAATATATAAAATCATAACCTAATTTGATATTTAATAGGCTTTTCCTTAATCCCTCTTTAGTATCCAACATTTTCACTTATCTAATGTTCTGCTGGCTTATTTAAGTGAGACTCTACTGTATTAGTAGATTGCATCTTCCATTATTCCATGCTAGGAATGTGAATCTTGATTTATTCTCACATGTGAAAATGACCAAACGAAAAGAAATATTTTCCTTGCCTCTTAAGATATTTGCTTCTCTGCTCCCTGAGAATGAGGGGGAAGAGGGTGATTTGCTCCCTTACACCAAAGGGAGAGCTTAGAAAATAGTCCCAGCTGAGACTTTTAAGGGGTGGAGTCAGCATAAGGACATGCTCAGGCTCTGCTCTCCATTCCAGTTTGGACATTGACCCACCCTCCCACCCTTTAACAGTGAATTTTAAGGGTCACCAGTTGGGGCTGGATAGGAATCCCCCCTATGTTCTGGGGGGGGGGAGGATTTGCCTACCGTACACTGTTCAGTCAGGGCTAATTGGGTGAGTGGGCGTTAAATAGGCTAACATGGGAAAACAGGGATAAGTTTACATATTGGTGAGCACCTAAAGCACTTCTTGGTGGTTTTGGCCATGAATGGGAACCCCTCACTTGTAGTTAAAAGAATCGAGGTGTGGGTGAACAGTAATGCCTCGAGTGGTGAGATTTTCGGTCTCAGTATCCTCTGGAATTGGGACAGAATTCTCCATCTGTTTCCCTGAGCGGTTGCTCTGGAAGCAACAGTTGATTGCAGCCGGGGACCCTGATAGATGATGCTGATAGATGGCACTTGATAGATGAGGAGTAGGTCTTGGATGGCCATTGCCTTGGTATATTTACAAACCAAGTTCATGCTCTTAAAATTGGTTGGCAGGCCTCATTGAGATTGATCGGTAACATTTCATAAAATTTGCCCATAGTTTAACCCACACGTATGTTTTGTCTCATGATTTTGGTTGTTTGGGAGCAATTGCTATTTGTATTGAAAAAGTGAGTAGATATGTGAAACTACAATTGCACAAATGTAATATTGTGCATGGGAAGATGTGCACTCCACGATGGACAGGGTATAGGGATTCTATCTTTGAAGATCCCACCCGCTATCACCAATCGTTCAGATGTGGATGTTATGGAGGGGATTCACCTCTGGCCTCAATTGTGTAGAAGAATATATTATGGAGGAGGCCATTTATTATTAGTAAATTAAGGTAACTGCCACCAACGTAAGGTATTTGAGGTACCACCGATGAGATCTGGCTCTACCGACGCAGAATAGTTGAGGTGAGACGGTTTTCAAAAAAAAGATAACAAGTTTATTGTGTACAAAGCTTATAGTTGCAGGCTGTTAAATAACTTATGGAACTTTGAATATCACGTGGTTTATAATTCAGTCCACTCTTCCAGATAACACTGCCTGTGGCTAACTTTCATTGAGGTGACGCTCTCTAGTAAACAATGTTTCACTACTATAAATAGCTTTTCAATTTGATCTTTCCTAAATCAAATCTCTGATCTCTAGTCCTTCCTTAACTAGGGATCTTAACTAGACTTCCTTTAATCTTCTTTGACTGAAGAATCTGCCCAGGTTTCTTTCTTCAGCCCTCCTAAACTGATAAAACACCACCCGCTCACCCACAAGTCTCTCTCTCACTCTCTTTTTAAAAATCCCCCTTTTCCTGCTTGGCTCCGCCCTCTCATGAGCTAGCCAGCCTTGTCTCCTTGGCAATGCTCACTGTGTATTCAAACCAGATGACTCCAGTGTTAGCTACTGTTACAAACCAAATACATACTCTAACAGTTAAACACAAACATAATAACAATGACTTCTGCACAGTGCACAATAAAATTATTATGGCCCCAGCTTTGTTTTGTTTTGTTTTTTTTTAAAAAAAAAAAATGAACACACTGGATGGGTAGTTTGCATGCTTTTGATCAAACAAGGGTCATGTAATAATTATTACTACTGTCTGAATTCTGCTGGAAAATTGTTGGTGAGTAAACATATAGGTAAATGTATTTTACTAGATGCATTTTCTATAACTGTGCTGATAAGTTCTAAAAACACAGAATTCAATCTCTGGCATTTTAAGGATTGTAAATGATAGATCAATTCATAACAAATACAGGTCAAAGTCTGTACAATTCTGTATGTGGATTTAAACTTCTTTTATTCCACTTCAGGACAGTATACTTTTCAATGCAAATATTTTCTAACCTCTCTTTTCTTATTATTCAGGGTGAAAGAGGATTTCAAGGCTTACCTGGGCTGATGGGAGAAAGAGGAGAAAAGGTAAAAACAAAAGAGTAGAAATTCACTGAAAGAAACAGTTGTCTATATTCTTTATGACTTCTCCATTGTGTCCTGATTGCACTGAAACTGACAACAATACTTGAAATTTGGGCATGCTATTTCCAAAGTGATTTGTGTGAGACAATTATTGGTCAGCAATAATGGTTCCAGGACAACAGATCTAAAACATTAAAGGCAACTTGGCAGAAAATGCAGTATAAAATATCAATGAACTATCAGTTTGACAAAATACTTCTTGAGCTTCTGTGATATCTATCCTAGATAATTAGAAGATATATACAGAGATATTGGAGACTGATTGATACTGTGCAGCTGGGAGAATCACTTTCTTAAATGTTACTTTTGTACAGTCTAAAATCTTTCCGTACTTAGAAACTAGTTTTATAGAAAGAGATGTTGCACAGTGCAGTATTTTGTTTCAAATCTGTTATTTTTCTATGTGTATATTATAACTATAATACCTATCAGATCACTACTCTTTTATTAACATGTGCCATAGGCAACTGCAGACATGTGTAAAATAGCTCTTTCTCTACAACAGTGGTTCTCAACCTGTGGATCTCCAGATATTTTGGCCATCAACTTCCAGAAATCCTAACAGGTGGTAAAATGGCTTGGATTTTTGGGAGTTGTAGGCCAAAACATTCCACAAGTTGAGAACCACTGCCCTATAACATGGTACTATTCAAAATAGTCTCCACCATCTCTGAACCTGCTCATCAAATCTACTTTGGAAGATGTCTTTTGGGCACTCCCTGACCCAGCATCTGATAACATCTCCCATCAGTCTGTGCACATTGTGTGGATACTGGCAGGCTGATGTGACCCCCCACTCTGCATTAAATGGAAGTGTGGAATCACTCTTTGATTGCTCTTCAATTGCCATGGCTCTATTCTCAATTTTTTTTTTTTGCTTAACGAGGGGCTTTGAATTGTCTGCTAGACATAGAACTCTTTCACTGCATAGAGATATGTAAGGCTGAATCTTCTCAAGCCACTAAATCCCAGGATTCCATAAGATGGAACTCTGACAGTTAAAGTGCAGAACATTGCTATAAATAAAGTATAGATAAACTCAAAAGTGTGTCCAAACATGAATAGAAAGCACCGAGGCCCCTTCCACATAGCTGAATAAAATCCCACATTATCTGCTTTGAACTGGAATATATGGCAGTGTAGACTCAGATAATCCTGTTCAAAACAGATATTGTGGGATTTTCTGCCATATATTCTGGGTTATGCAGCTGTGTGGAAGGGCCTAGAGATACATTTAAAAGGCAACATCAGGCTGTCTGAAATCAGCATATAAGAAGGATAAAATAGAGGACAAGGTTAGGCAAACAAGATAAACATTTTGGATAAGGGGCATATTTTGTGAAACCTCACTCTCTATATCCAGGATCCTTTGGGTCCTTCCAAACAGCCCTATATCCCAGAATATCAAGGCAGAAAATCCCACAAAATTTGAGATGAGTTTTCTGAGTCCACACTCAGATAATGTGGGATTTCCTGCCTTGATAGTCTGGGATATAGGGATGTGTGGAAGGGCCCTGTGTCCACACTCAGATAATGTGGGATTTCCTGCCTTGATAGTCTGGGATATAGGGCTGTGTGGAAGGGCCCTTAGAGTGCTAGGTTAGGGGCTTATATTGCTGTTGCTGGGATCCATGCAGAACTCAGCTGAAGACATTTTGGCATTTTTGAAGACATCCCTATTCTCAAGGGGTCATTGCTCATAGCTGAATGCTTCATTTGGTATGTTCAAGCTGAGTCCATGCATTAAGTCATTGGGCCCTTCCACACAGCCCTATATCCCAGAATATCAAGGCAGAAAATCCCACAATATCTGCTTTGAACTGGGTTATCTGAGTCCACACTAAGACATTGTGGGATTTTCTGCCTTGATATTCTGGGATATAGGTCTGTGTGGAAGGGCCCATTGTCATTTTTACAAACTGGAAGAGAGACCTACTTGTTTTAACTTCAGAGTTAAGATGTTCTTATCCACAGGTGCAATCCTGACACAAACACAACTGAAAATTGAAAAACTTATTCTGCCATGTGCAGTTGAAAGTGTAAATGTCCAGCAATGTTTTGTCTATATCTAGCAATATTTGAAAAATAGGAGGAGTTGGGTGTCTCTTGATAAGCCTTGGAAAAATCCCAAGTATCGCCATGGCTGTATTTAGCAAGTAATAAATGTAGAGCTTAATATCAGAAATTGTAAAGCTGGGCAAAAAGTTTCCTTTGAGACCACAAATTAATGTTGTCAAGGGAAGAAGTGATTAGATTCATGTGCTTCTACTTCTAGCTGGTGCTAATTTTATGCCAAGGATGGCTCCCTATTATTTCTGCAATGTTATTTTTTTATTATTTCAGGGCTCCATTGGTGCACCTGGCATCCCAGGGCGAGACGGCTTCAAAGGAGCAACTGTAAGCTTTTCTCTTCCTTCCTTGTAATCCCCCTTTCCTTACAGCAGCAAGGCAGATGCTACAAATCAATGTGCATTGAATGGAACGTGTCTTGGGGATTAGTGTTGCCCTTTTGAATGCAGCTGAAATGAATGACAGCAGATTAATAACCTCAACAAGGTGGGAGTCAGGCCAAGACAGCAGACAGACTTCTTGGGGATTAACAACTTTTGGATGTTCAAAGGCAGAAGGCATGTTCTTGTTCACTGGAATGCTCTTAGTGATTTATGCAGAGACTGGAGACTTCACTGTGGCAATGGGAGGAAATCAATTCTCCAAGACTCATTCCTTACAAATAAAAGGATGTTGGATAGAATGTGAAAGATGAAGTGAATATGCTGAGATGAACCAAACAGGAAGCAAATCTTGTTTGCTTGCATTGGCAACTAAAAGAACACAAACAATTACTGAGATCTTATCTTAATTCAATCTAGCATCAAAATCTGCTGGCAGAATTATGCTATGATGTGCAGTGTTGATGACCAACTATGAGACAATGAGACAGGCACAGAGAGTTGGGTTAAATAAGGCATTATTGACCTGAACCTATTTAATTGAGTGATGTCTGGGAGTGATCAGAAGAGGGGTTTAGCGGGTATTTTCCAGCAGGAAAACCCAGAGCAAGTCATAGAACTTTTTAAAAGAAAGAATTAGGGTTCGACTCAAGGATTGACTCCTTCAAAGCTCTGAGTTTACAGGACCTATAGAAATTATTTTCAGCCACTTATAAACAGCTGTATAAAATCCAGTTTATGTACTTTGAATTAGATTATATGGCAGTGTAGAAGGGGCCTTGGATGTCCACCCTTCATAAAAAGAGTGCCAAGTTGTATAGCAACTTTTTATGTTTTTCCCCAGTACCTGACAAGGGCAATCTATTAATAAACATAACCCTTTGGCTATCATCACAGACGTTTAGACACAATATACGGTAGGCAAAAAACCCATAAAAGGGATAAAAAAATGCAAGCCAAAATTTGAGAGCATTCTGGTCTTTTTTGTAGGCTTCAAATCACAAAGCCTATCAAAGCATGCTCCTGCCCACAGACCATTTTGCTTTGCTGTCCTTAGTACAAAACATATATGGATCAATGGTCAACAAACATAATAAAATACCCACTGTGCAAATTATATGTTTAATATGTAAAAATGATCCGTAGAGACAATGTGCTTTACACACCATTCTATATATTTTAATGCACTATTGCATGCAAAATAGTCCTGAAGGCCCAACTTGGTTTGCACTGCTGTAACAAATAAGCATTGCCAAAACAAAAGCAAACAAACAAGAAACTCCCATCTCCATGCATGTATAGCAGACCTTTGCATTTCACTTGATTTCATTTCCCACCTCTGCTGCCCCAAATTACTTTTTCAGATTTCCAACAGGAAGAGTACTTCCAGAAAAACTCTTGGATAATATATTTGACTACTAGACTAGGCTTCTTCTATTTGGTTTTGGCTGAGTGTAACACTTTATCTGCTTTATCTTTGCATGGTTCTTGAACACTGGTAACTCTTTCATTAGATCCAACTGAAGTCTTTGAATGTATGAAGTCTAAGCTTTTGACATTTGCATCGGAGGACACATTTACATAGGCATTAAAACCTGAAATGGACCAAAGTGGCTCCATAGCACTTACGTGATGCATAAAGTAGCTTAACGTGATTATGCCACATGTTAGGGAAAATCTCAAAAGTATTCTGGAGCTTTGCTGCACTTGTGGAAAATGGAATGGCATTTACTCATGTCAGGCGGTCAACATTGTAGTGGCTTCGTCCTTGCTGCCATCAAGATGTCCTGAGAGAAGGAAGGGTGGCTGTCCAGTGGAGCCAAGCTGCATTTGGCTCTATTGGAATGTCTGGCCTTGCCACTGTAACTGGTTCACGTAGAAGGACGTTAGACCGCAGTTTTGGAGCACTGTCTTTGTCCACCCTTGGGTATTTTCTTAGCCTGGTTAGATCACCCACTACCATTTTCTCAAAATGGTTCATCTGCCCAGATCTTCTATCTTCACAGAAAAATCTGGCTATAATTTTATATTTTATATTTGTGAAATGTCTATAAAAGCATCATTCTAATAAAAAACATTGTCTTCTCTGTTGAGGGTGAGGCTGGGCTTCCTGGAGCAGTTGGACTTCCTGGGCCACCAGGAATTAAGGTAAGCGATAGTTTCAATGAATAATTTAGCTGTTTCATTATTAGAGCCATTAAAATGACTTCCATCTCTACCCAAAAAGCAGACACGCGCGCACACACACACGCGCGCGCGCTTCTTTTAATCACGACAACATTAGTCATTATTGTCTGAAAGAGTACCATGACACCTATGTCATCTTTTCCACATATATTCAACAATCAAATCAGTTCATTGTAATTATAAGAACATTTTCAAAACTAGGCTGAGTTTTAGGTAACTTGAAATTACTGTCAAAAAATTAGTTCACTTCATTTCATTGGCTGAAATCCCTTTTGCAGAACTTACAGAATGAATTGTATTTACCTGTATGTTGACTCACCATTCAGTAAATGATTTGATGAATCTACTTTAGTTGTGCATAACCGACACAATTCAAACCATTGCTCTTTGTGGTGAAATAGGGTAAGATATAGGATGGAATATCAATATTTAATAAATTAACAATAGAATCCTACCCAGACACATCTGTTGAGGATATGAGGCAAAATAACCCATGGTGCTTGGTGACCTGATATCTGTGAAGTGTGTATCTACTCTGGGATTAGCAAAAAAAAAAAAAAAGGAGCTGTCCAAATGTATTTAAGGAATAGAGTTTAACACTGGATTATTTCCTTAAAGATAGGACTAAAACCAAGAGCAAATCCATCATGTCACTGGCAGCAATACCTTATTTCTCCATGCATCTCCATATAAAGACACAAACGGTTCATTAGCTACAACAACCCAGTGATTGCGGCCATGAAAGCCTTCAACAATACAGTTCATTAGCTGTGAAAATGGAGATCGCACTGTTTAATGAAACAGGTCATGCACATCTTCTGTTTTCCCTAGTCATGATGATCTTGGTCTCTCTTTTTTATTTGCATTTTTACTAGGGGACAGATGGCCAGCCAGGTCCCCCTGGACGCCAAGGTTATGTTGGAGCACCTGTAAGTTGTTGAGTTTTTCTTTGTTCAATCTGCCAAGTGTGGTAAAAATGTTTAATGACATTGTTAAAAATCATCTTGAGCAATCAATTGATGTCTGAATTTCAAACATTCACAACACAACAGTGCTTAGGTGCATGGATATGCAGCTGGCAAGCACCTGAGATCTTCAGTTCTGCAAATGTAAAGCGAAATTATAGGGTTTTTTTTTGAAAGCCCTTGAATATGGACACAACCATGCACACAAAACAGGAAAAGAAAAAGAATGGAGAACCTGGATGGTCACATTTTTCCAAATGTATTGGACTTTTCTCCAGGCATGGGACCAAAAGAAGATTAGTTTAAATACAAAGTTAAGCTAACATCTCATTCTAGATAGTGATTAAATAAACAGTTCTATTTTAAAAGTGCATGGATAGAAATAATGTAAATTGGTATACTATATAACTACACAGAGAAAAGTACAGAACACTACTTGACCCTTCCGCCACATGCTTTAGAAAGAGAGCAGAAAGGAACTAGGCTTTCCATGGAAGATTGTTCCAGAACCTGAGATGGCTGTTTCATGTATTTTCACCAAATGTGGTAGTGATGGTGGTAGGAGTGAGAAAAAGTCCTTCCCTCCAGATCTTCAGATGCCAGCCAGTTCGTATAGGGAGATGTTGGTCTTTAGCTCCAAACACACTTTACTATTGTCTATGCCAGTGGTTCTCAACCTGGGGTCCCCAGATGTTTTTGGCCTACAACTCCAGAAATCCCAGCCAGTTTACCTGCTGCTAGGATTTCTGGGACAGCTTTTACCAACCTAGCAGTTCAAAAACATGCAAATGTGAGTAGAATCATTGAGTTGGAAGAGACCTCATGGGCCATCCAGTCCAACCCCCTGCCAAGAAGCAGGAATATTGCATTCAAATCATCCCTGACAGATGGCCATCCAGCCTCTGCTTAAAAGCTTCCAAAGAAGGAGCCTCCACCACACTCCGGGGCAGAGAGTTCCACTGCTGAACGGCTCTCACAGTCAGGAAGTTCTTCCTAATGTTCAGATGGAATCTCCTCTCTTGTAGTTGCTGGAATGGGAAACGGAGACAGATGGGAGCTGTACTAGACTATGCTTGACCAAACCTTGAGCAAGAAAATCCCATTTACTTGATATGTGGTTCCTTAGACTTTGTAAGAGCCAAAGTCTATCTGTAGTGATAAGTTGTCATAACGGTCTTATATTCCTCAGCAAAACCTATGAAGAATTGTATGGAGAACTCATGGAGAGTAAGAATCGACATATAGTGCAACACTGATAGCAGAACCATGGTCAGCAAAGCAGCTTATGTTTTGATTATTTTCTGAAGAAAGTGGACTTGAACACCATCCCTGAAGTTTCTTCTGATTATTTCAACAACTATTATTGAAATACTGATGTGCATTGACTTTTTTTTAAAAAAAGAAGACTACTGAGATATGATTATGATGCCAAGATGCTATATTGCAAGAAGGAATGTCTTCTCATTTTAAAAAGTTTGAGGTGGTAACTTTGAGGCTCTTACTAGCCTGTTCATGACAAACCTCTTGGCTATAAATTTGTTAACCATTTTTTCACCTTTTCTCAGTCTTATTATCTGGGTGACAGTGATAATATCCAGTGGGTACTAGAAAAGATAAGAGTCCTTCTGCCTGATCAGGTTGATGAATATTCTAAGAACAATTAGCATATGCAAAGGTCGTTCTGAGGCATAACATTATTCTTATGTGATAGACAGCTACTTAATAGGCCATGGCTTAAATCAGCATTCTCTTTCCACAGTTCTCATCACATAATGAGTCATTGTATGCAAGTTACTAGAAAGTTAGTGACTCATCTATGTTCTGTTCTAGGGTGGAACCATGGTAGTGGGAACACAACACAAAACTTATTATTTCATCATTTGTCTCATTTTAGGGTCTACAAGGAGAAAGAGGAGAAAAGGGACCCAGGGGAGAAAAGGTATGGGCAGGCAGCATGTGAAATGACTCATTCTGTTTCTGCCTTTATGACAAGGTTTAAGAATCTGATCCTGACAAAAGTAGGAGAGATCAAAATAGCCAGAGGCAAAAGCTTAAAAATATATTCATGATTTTCTACTTTTTACACCTACCATTTTGAAAGAGTTTCAGTGTTTCTGCTCAGAATGCTGATATATAATCAAAATACACAAAATACACAAAGCACCCCAGGAATTAATGTATTATTTATGTTTCTTTCTTCAGGGGGAACCAGGCCTTGATGGTTTTCCTGGAAAACCTGGTTTGGAGGGTAAACAGGTATGTGAACAAATCTATGTAAAAAGAAAAAAAATAGGTTGCAGAGAGGTATAAAAGCTGAGATCATTTTCTGAAAATAATATTCCAAAAACTGCTCACCAAAATCAAAATATTGATATACATTTTGTTAATTCAAAAAAAAAAAGATAAAAAGATGGAAGCATAAAGTACCATTAGAAATACCATTACAAAGACTGTAAAATAATTTAGAGGGTATTTTCCTAGAAATTATTGAGGACAACATGATTTTTATGTGGTTCCCTATGCTGCTGTCCTTGCTTTTAAGGTTTTGAACTTCTGGCTTTAATGTTTCAAAAATCTTTTATTTAAATGTTTTAATGTGACCTTGATAGTTATATTCACCCACATGGCTCCTTGCTAGTGCTTTTTCTTGGAGTTCACTAGTATCAAAAGAGAAAATCTAAATTGGAGAACCCATGACACAGGTTGAAGATTGCAAAGTATGACCAGTTGTTTTGACACTCATTTTATTTAGGAAGACTTAACCCTTCCTCTTCCCCCCTACACCAAAAGATATAATCTCAGTATTTTAATTGCTTAATCTGATTACAGGGCTTCAAAGGAAGTCCGGGTGAACCAGGGCTCATGGGACCCAGAGGAGAAAAGGTAAGGAGATGGCTATGTGCATGAGACAGAAACAATACTTTAGCTCTCTTGTGGAGCTTCCTTCACAGACCTTCTTTAGAAACCACACTATTCAACAAGATACATTTGCAGAACATGACTAGCTTCTAAAGTTGGAATCTCTAAAGTCAGAAGCTGGGCAGACTTCTTACTTTACAGAACTAACCAATCACAGTATCAGGGATCATGTAAAGAAGGTTCCTATAGAAATATAACTTAAGGACTTGGTTGTAAAATGATACGAGGATAAAATAGAATTTGAAGAGTAGTGGTTCTCAACCTGTGGGTCCCCCAGATGTTTTGGCCTTCAACTCCCAGAAATCCTAACAGCTGGTAAACTGGCTGGGATTTCTGGGAGTTGTAGGCCAAAACACCTGGGGACCACAGGTTGAGAACCACTGAGTTAGAGGGACAGTGTAAGAAGGAGGGGAGGTGATATGATCTGGATAGGATTTTGGGAGAAAGGAATGTGTGTAGATTTATTACATTTAATAATTAAATGTCATAAAATAAAACTCTGCAGATTTGAATTTCTACAAATGTGTCCGATTTTTAATCGATACATGTTCTTTAGAATAGCAGCTGGTTGAGATCTGACTACCAGATCTAGGAAGATACTCAGATCTAGCACTTAAGGACAAAAGGGAAGATGGATGATAGGAGTGCAGCAGATGAAACTGTAAAGCCAGCCTGAGAGAGATTCCATTGCAGAAGCCAATCTTACTTCAAGAAAAAGTTGAACTGAATAATGTTTTCCAATTCATCAACTTTTCCCATCAGGACATAAGTGACATCACAGTATTGCAGACAAAGTTTTATATTAAGCAGAATCAACAGAGTCTTCACATGTTGTTCTACCGCTAGTAGAATGTTACTGCAGAAATCTGTTTCCTTCTCAGAGGTGCCACCTATGTTCTGGACCAGGGATGGGCAAAATTCGACCCTCCAGGTGTTTTGTATTTCAACTCCCACAATTCCTAACAGCCAGTAGGCTGTTAGGAATTGTGGGAGTTGAAATCCAAAACATCTGGAGGGCCGAAGTTTGCCAATGCATCTTCTGGACACTGTCCTTCATGTCATCTAAAAGACAGACACCATACTAAGTTTAAAAAAAATGGAAAAATATGGACCATCAAAAGCAGAAATGTTGTATAGAACCTAGTAGAACTGGAGATGATGGAATTTGTATCTTCAGTTGAATGGCACAAGTCTAGTGAGGACAAGAAGTTGCTGCTGAAACCAATGCTTGCAATCACTTAATTGTTTTCCTTCCATGTATTTTTCCAACCTAGGGTGAAATAGGACCTCCAGGAAAACCTGGCTCAGCAGTAAGTGATATCAACATTGGAAAAGTTTATCAAATACACTGTTTGGGTGTTTGAATGTAGTTTGATTGTAGTCCCTCAGCTATGGCCTTGTTCCCCTGATCTGTCTGGCTAGGGCTGGTAGACAGATGCCAATGGAACCTTCAAGAATGGCAAAATGTATTATCCCATTACTACTACTGAACAAAAATTTAGTTGACATAAAACTTAGCTTCTGCATGTGGAATGGAAGACTGAGATGTTTGATGCCTTAATTGTGTGATGTTAATTGTGGCATTGAATGTTTGCCTTTTTTATGTATATGTATGTAAACCATCCTGAGTCCCCTCAGGAAGAGAGGGTGGTCTAGAAATAAAGTTTTTTATTTATTTATTTATTTATTTACTTCATTTATATACCGCTTTTCTCAGCCCTCAGGCGACTCAAAGCGGTTAACAACAGCAAAATTCAATGCAAAACATCATAAAACGATTATGGGACAGTTAAAACAATAGCATCATCAACAATTAAACATCAATATAACAATCATTAGTGTCTCATCAGTAAAATCAGAATCCAGTCTCATCATCCGTTAATCCGTGTTCCTATATTCATTACACTGCTTAATCGAATGCTTGTTTGAACAGCCAGGTCTTCACTTTCCTCTGAGACGCCAATAGGGAGGGGGCTGATCTGATATCTATAGGAAGGGCATTCCACAGCCGAGGGGCCACCACTGAGAAGGCCCTGTCTCTCGTTCCCGCCAGGCGTGCCTGTGATGCAGGCGGGACTGAGAGCAGGGCCTCCCCGGATGATCTTAATGTCCTAGTTGGTTCATAGGAGGAGATGCATTCGCAGAGGTTATTATTGTTATTAATTAGTTGCCAATTTGTTTTATAGGATTCTTGGGTTTAGAATATGACTACACTTTAGATTGGTTCATACTAACCACTGTGTACTTAATCTTCAACTATTTTTTCCATGTCAGGAGCAACTTGAAAAACTGCAAGTTGCTTCTGGTGTGAGAGAATTTGTCGTCTGCAAGTACGTTGCCCAGGGGACACTTGGATGTTTGATGTTTTACCATCCTTGTGGGAGGCTTCTCTCATGTCTCCACATGGGGAGCTGGAGCTGACAGAGGGAGCTCTACCCACTCCCCCCAGATTTGAACCAATGACCTATTGGTCAGCAGTCCTGCCAGCAGAAAGTTTCAACCCATTACGCCATCAGGGTCTTCAACTATGACCAGCAGGCATATTCTGTGGCTTCATATCTAGTTCAGCTTAAGAACTGACATAAAAGAAAAAGTCAGAGAGTTATTTTATTGAATTCATTTTGCCTTTTGAAAATATTTCTCTTCTATCTTTCAGGTGCAGACTGAAGGTTTGAAAGGAGAGCAGGTAATGTTTTTGTAAGCACTTTTGTACTGACAACAATGTTTTAATGCATTCCTAACTCTCAAAGTCAGTGGTAAAACGCCTCCCCAAAAGTCTACAGAAACAACAATGCAAACTGAGTGGTTTGGAAGCTCTCTACCATGAATAAACTTTATTTTAAATCTAAGAGGAGTCTGGCAAGTTGTTTATCTTGCCTATAATAGCTTTTATGCAAGGGTTACATTCATCTGACCCACTCACTCCTTGCTAGTTCACGAGAAGTCCCAAATAAAATTGCTTTGTCTGTTTTCATTATCTAAGGACACCCAGGAGTGGGGGAGGGAAGGCACAACTCTGCAGTACATTTGCTGTATCTATCTATTCTTGGTTTTACTCATGCTGTATGTTTTCGATTTACACCCTTGTTTTTTGCCTGTAACTGTAGAAGTTATTGAACAAATGAGTATTTCTGGAGAATACTACATTAGGTGCAGTGCTATTCATACTTTTGGCAGAACAATCTGTTAGAAACAGTATATTGTCTGATTAATTATATAAAGTAATAGAAGGGAATATAGGAGCAAGGCCCCAATGAGTTACACTGTTTTGGTTTAAAACACTGGAAACAATGTTGTATTGATCTAAATACTATTTTGACCAATGGGGCACCACTGTGGTGGGCAGAGTTGACCTATGAGGGAATTTGGGGAAAATTATAATCTACCCACTGTGCAATGTCTATTCCTAGTTTAAGTGTGTGATGAAGTCTAAATTTTATCTCTCCACATTTAACTTAAAAAACTTACACTACTTTTCAGGGAGCTCCAGGTCCTCGAGGGCCAATAGGACACCCTGGAACACCAGGCAGCCCAGTAAGTAATTTGCTTTCTCCATCCCTTTATGGTTCATTAATTTACTTTGGAATCTTAAATGAGTCATGCATTGACTGAGAGGACTAGATAAGGGGTAGCTAGATTGGTTACTGGTACACCTAGGGTAATCATATCACACCTATATAGGAATCATTGCTAATTAATTGGTTTATTACCTTTAAATTTCTACATAGTTTAGGTTCAGGTAACCTATTAGTTTAGGTCCTCTCTTACAATCCGTCAGATATACTCAGATCCTCTGAGGGACATCTACTTCAATCACTTAGGACTGGATTGACAATGGCCACCCAGAAGACTTTTGGCAGCTGGTTCTAGATTGTGGAATGATTTATTGGAAGATTCAATAGATTTGATAACTAAATTTGTTGTCCATTTTTAAAGAACAGTCTCTATATGCATTGATTGTATATGCTATTTAAAACTGATGTGTTACTTATGTGCTTTTAAGTGATTGTCTATGTTGTACTTTAATATATTATCATTCCTGTCTGGCTTGAGTTATGAATGTGGTGTCTTCTTTTAAAAAGTAATTCTTAAATGTTGCCTCATTTACAGGGACCTCCAGGACCAGAGGGCAAGCCCGGACTTCCTGGATTACAAGGTCAAAGGGTGGGCAGCATTTCTATTTTTGCATGTCTCTACAGAACAGTTGCCTGGATTCCTAGGCATTGGGTTTCACAACTGATATCAAAAATGATCTTTGAAATAATTAAAAGAAAATTGATTTCTTCACATAGAAAATCCTGGATAACCAGAAAGTTTACTATTTGAGATTTATGGACGACTTATTTCTGAGCAGAAAGTTCTTCTTGCAGAACATCTTCTGAACTACAAAGAATAAGTTTCTGCAGAAGGAAGAAAAGTAGTGCTAGTGAAGTTATTGGTTCTTGCTTCCAAGAATGAAATGTATAAAGATTTACAATACGAATGGGTGTGTGGGAAAGGATAAGGACAATAATTCCTTAATTGTATAGCCAACTTTTTGCTGGTGGCTGAGAGACGAGGAGGCCTTCAGTTCATTTTGCATTGATTTCTTGACTTGAGTACTGTCATACATCACAACATTTTAATAAAGCCATGTTAGATATTGCTTCTTCTCAAAGAACCATTTATAATATGATGAAAGGTTGTCTATACTCTGATGAGCAGCCCTCTCATAGTTTCGTTATACCAAAACTGAGTGTGGTTCTTTGTGGGTATCAACTGGACATATTAATACATCTGGTGACGCTAGGTGTCAGTGGTTAAGGATTGCTCTCAAAGCTCAGGAGCTCAAATACCTAGGAACAAAACAAGTGTATAGGAAAACATTTATGTCTGAATAAGAGGAGGGTATATATGTGTTTTAGGCTATAATGGCCATTTCTGATATTGCTAATGTTTACCACTAACTTTGGAATGACCCAAATGTTCTTATATAGCCTAATGTCAAGTATACAAACTCAAATGCCCTGCACATTTGAGGCATTTTCTCTTTCTCTTTCTCACAGACATATACATGGAGCTAGTTGTTGTACATGTAATCAAATGTAGCCAGGAATCGGGATGGAAAGATTCAGAACTGAGTAATATTGCACTAATGTGAATCTTTGAAGTTTGGGAGTTGTTTTGCGTGAAATTCACAGAAATTCTAAATATATTCCAAAATAAAGTAAGATTTAATTTTGCCATTTGATATAAGGGACATGATTTTATTATGCCATTGTATATAATGAAATTTGAGCATCCATGGTCTTTGGTATGCAATGGCAGGGGGAGTTCTCGGACAGTGGATACAATGAGTCCACTGTAAACTGAGTGATAGGTTTATTTTTTCCTTGATTCTTCACTATAGCAATATCAAAGAATGCCAGGTAAAATTGCTTGCAATGATAGCAACATGTTCCTCTTCAAAGGGCATATCATTGTTTCCCAAACCGATGTTACTCATCTGGAACCTGATCTGTACAAAAATGCCTTAAGCAAAATGAGCAAGCAGTACAGATGGTGACACTTCAAGGTTTGCCAAAAAAGTTAACTTTTCAACAAATTAATCATAAAGACTGAAAATTAAATTCTGCAAACTTGAATTATGAATCTTTCTGTGATGTATTCTCTCTGTTATCCTTCATTAGCTGTCTTGCTCTATTAGGTCCAAGAAGACATGAACTTCTATCATGCCCTTCAGCATCTCACAGCTGAAAAACAGGACACATTCTCAAAATGGCAAATATATATTAAGTGGAAAGAACAGAGAGGCTAGGGGAAGCTGCAGGAGTTTCCTTCAGCTTGACAACTGTGGATTCCCCACATCATCATGACAACTCATATCCAAAACCTTGGATGAGTCACACACACTCAGCCCCAGAAAGCCCCATGATGGCTTTGCCTTGAGGCAGTGGTTCTCAACCTGGGGTCCCCAGATGTTTTTGGCCTTCAACTCCCAGAAATCTTAACAGCTGCTAAACTGGCTGGGATTTCTGGGAGTTGTAGGCCAAAAACATCTGGGGACCCCACGTTGAGAACCACTGCCTTAGGGTCTCCATATGTCAAGAATGAGTTGAAGGCACACAACTACAGGAAAGGAAATGCATGTTCCTTTCCCTGCTTTCCTCTTCTACCTACTGAATTAACCAAGTCCAAACTACTTTTGGGCTTTAAAATAACTTGCTGTAATTGAAGCTAATAACAAAGGTGGCATATTTTTAAAATATCTGAAATAGTGGGATAACAGAGAATCGGACATGTGCATATCTTCATTAATCATATTTCCCACCTTGATCACAATCTGTTGTTGCTTAGCCACACATTTGCTAGTCTTCATCTATGAAATGTTACTTATGT